GTATGCGTGGAGCCCCAGACCGACATAATGAGACTAGTCACGAGGGAGCATTCACCAAATTCAACTTCAATAACAAACAAATAAAGTGGGACCAAGTAAACCAAGTCCTAACCTATATAAGCTGGGAAGATATACTAAGCAACACAGACCCCAACTTATGCCTAGAACAGATTAACTCGGTGGCACTCGATGTATGCACAAGGCTTATTCCTCTAAGAAAAAGGAGGAGTAGATGTAAAATAGAAAGAGACAGGCGCTCCCTTTACAGGTGACGGAAAAGAATAACAGAGCGGCTAAAAGAGGTCAATATATCTGAAATGCGTAGGGAGACACTGGTCAGAGAAATAGCAAGCATCGAACTTAAGCTAAAAGAATCCTTTAGGAGTCAGGAATCGCGGGAAGAACTAAAAGCCATAAATGAAATCGAAAGAAACCCAAAGTATTTCTTCTCCTATACCAAATCAAAATCGAGAACAACGTCCAGTATTGGGCCCCTACTTAAACAAGATGGGTCCTACACAGATGACAGCAAGGAAATGAGTGAGCTACTCAAGTCCCAATATGACTCAGTTTTTAGCAAGCCACTAACCAGACTGAGAGTCGAAGATCAAAATGAATTTTTTGAGAGAGAGCCACAAAATTTGATTAACACAAGCCTATCCGATGTTATCCTGACGCCAAATGACTTTGAGCAGGCGATAAATGACATGCCCATGCACTCTGCCCCAGGGCCAGACTCATGGAACTCTGTGTTCATCAAGAACTGCAAGAAGCCCCTATCACGAGCCTTTTCCATCCTATGGAGAGGGAGCATGGACACGGGGGTCGTCCCACAGTTACTAAAAACAACAGACATAGCCCCACTCCACAAAGGGGGCAGTAAAGCAACAGCAAAGAACTACAGACCAATAGCACTAACATCCCATATCATAAAAATCTTTGAAAGGGTCCTAAGAAGCAAGATCACCACCCATCTAGAAACCCATCAGTTACACAACCCAGGGCAACATGGGTTTAGAACAGGTCGCTCCTGTCTGTCTCAACTATTGGATCACTACGACAAGGTCCTAAATGCACTAGAGGACAAAAAGAATGCAGATGTAATATATACAGACTTTGCAAAAGCCTTCGACAAGTGTGACCATGGCGTAATAGCGCACAAAATGCGTGCTAAAGGAATAACAGGAAAAGTCGGTCGATGGATCTATAATTTCCTCACTAACAGAACACAGAGAGTAGTCGTCAACAGAGTAAAGTCCGAGGCAGCTACGGTGAAAAGCTCTGTTCCACAAGGCACAGTACTCGCTCCCATCTTGTTCCTCATCCTCATATCCGACATAGACAAGGATGTCAGCCACAGCACCGTGTCTTCCTTTGCAGATGAACCCGAATCTGCATGACAGTGTCTTCCATTGCAGACACTGCAAGGCTCCAGGCGAACATCAACCAAATCTTTCAGTGGGCTGCAGAAAACAATATGAAGTTCAACGATGAGAAATTTCAATTACTCAGATATGGTAAACATGAGGAAATTAAATCTTCATCAGAGTACAAAACAAATTCTGGCCACAAAATAGAGCGAAACACCAACGTCAAAGACCTGGGAGTGATCATGTCGGAGGATCTCGCTTTCAAGGACCATAACATTGTATCAATCGCATCTGCTAGAAAAATGACAGGATGGATAATGAGAACCTTCAAAACTAGGGAGGCCAAGCCCATGATGACACTCTTCAGGTCACTTGTTCTATCTAGGCTGGAATATTGCTGCACACTAACAGCACCTTTCAAGGCAGGTGAAATTGCCGACCTAGAAAATGTACAGAGAACTTTCACGGCGTGCATAACGGAGATAAAACACCTCAGTTACTGGGAGCGCTTGAGGTTCCTAAACCTGTATTCCCTGGAACGCAGGAGGGAGAGATACATGATTATATAACCTAGAAAATCCTAGAGGGACTAATACCGAACTTGCACACGAAAATCACTCACTACGAAAGCAAAAGACTTGGCAGACGATGCACCATCCCCCCAATGAAAAGCAGGGGTGTCACTAGCACGTTAAGAGACCATACAATAAGTGTCAGGGGCCCGAGACTGTTCAACTGCCTCCCAGCACACATAAGGGGGATTACCAACAGACCCTTGGCAGTCTTCAAGCTGGCACTGGACAAGCACCTAAAGTCAGTTCCTGATCAGCCGGGCTGTGGCTCGTATGTTGGTTTGCGTGTAGCCAGCAGCAACAGCCTGGTTGATCAGGCTCTGATCCACCAGGAGGCCTGGTCACAGACCGGGCCGCGAGGGCGTTGACCCCCGGAACTCTCTCCAGGTAAACTCCAGGTAAATACCTCCATCTCCCCATCTACTAACTCCCCTACTCTGTTTTTAACTGACAAATCCATTCGTTCCCTAGGCTTTCTTAACTTGTTTAACTCCAAAATTTTTTCTTATTTTCATTAAAATGTCTTGACAGTGCCTCTCCCTCTCTATCATCTGCTCTCCTTTTGCACTCTCTCACCACTCTCTTCACCTTTCTTTTACTCTCCACATACTCTGCTCTTCTCATAACAATTCTGCTTTGTAAAAACCTCTCATAAGCTACCTTTTTCTCTTTTATCACACCCTTTACTTCATCATTCCACCAATCACTCCTCTTTCCTCCTGCACCCACCCTCCTATAACCACAAACTTCTGCCCTTACATTCTAATACTGCATTTTTAGAACTATTCCAACCCCCCCCCACTACTCATACTTGCACTAGCCCACCTTTCTGCCAATAGTTGCTTATATCTCACATGAACTTCCTCCTCAGTTCATACACTTTCACCTCTCTCTTGTTGTTGCCATTTTCCTCTTGTCCCATCTACTTCTTATTCTAACTGTAGCTACAACTAGATAATGATCCGACATATCAGTTGCCCCTCTATAAACATGTACATCCTGGAGCCTACCCATCAACCTTTTATCCACTAATATATAATCTGACTACTTTCATTATGTGCTATATCATACCTTGTATATTTATTTATCCTCTTGTTCATAAAATATGTATTACTTATTACCAACCCTCTTTCTACACATAGCTCAATTAAAAGGCTCCCCATTTTCATTTACCCCTGGCACCCCAGATTTACCTACTACTACTTTCACAACATTTTTACCCACTTTAGCATTGAAATCCCCAACCACAAGTACTCTCACACTTGGTTCAAAACTCCCCATCGCTAAATCACAACGCATGCACACATTTCCCAAAATCTCTCTCTCCTCTACACTTCTCTCTTCTCCAGGTGCATATATGCTTACTATAACCCACTTTTCACATCCAACCTTTAGTTTACTCCACATAATCCTTGAATTAATACATTTATACTCCCTCTTCCTGCCATAGCTTATCCTTCAACATTATTGCTACTCCTTTATTAGCATATAAATAAGCCTGTTTAGCACCATGTATAATGTGATGTACATACTCCATTGCCTTCTTGAAATTTGAATAGCAATCAGCAGTACACTTGTATCTGTAGGATTCCCACACAGTGAGCTGTAGACAAATATTCATGTAGGTTTTTCTCTTGCACTATTCCCCTCACTCTCCCCTGTCCTTCAAAGATCTCTCCCAGCAGTGCTGTATGACTCCTTCAGATTTAGTGCCTAACTTGATTATTTAGACAAATACCTTTCAAGAGGTTCTTTGATGCTGGTGACTGGGCTCTTGATCTAAGGAACTGGACCTGCCTTCATCTTGTATTGAACCTGAATGCTTCCCATGCTTTCAGGTAATGGATGATTCCTTCAGATTTAGTGCTCCCTCATGAATGCTATAATTTAGGCCAATAGCTCAAACACAAATATTTAAAACATGAATTGGTAAGTCAGTGATGATAATTACAGAAGTATAATATATATTGGGGGAAGTGCTCAACCCATAGGGGTCATACAGCACCTGGGGGATTATTATAATAAAATTAAGCACTAAACCTGTAAGGGTCACACATGGATGTACACAGGTCAAGAATGAGCAAGAGGTAGGGGTGGGGACTAGTGCAAGCAAAATTGAAATAAAAATTTGTGCAATAGGTTAATTTCGGTTAAAAGGTTAGAGGGAGTCTGCGTCAAAGATGGGACATTCAGTAAAGTCAGTAAGAGAATGTTGGTGTGGTTTAGATTATGTAAATGGATCCTGCATGCACTCTGATAGGACAATGCAATCTGACAGTCCTCACAGAATGGTGCCAATTGTTTCTCCATGTAAGATCTGTGAGTGAGTTGTGTGTGTCCAAACACCTAAATGTGAGAGTATGGTCTCCCAAGCCCAACAACAATGGGAAGATGGCCAGAATTCTAAACCTAGTTTGACATCAAACAATTTGTTGTCATTCTGTGGAGGTGTTGAGAGAGAGCACTGAAAAATAGTCTTAGTAAAGAATACCCTTATGGGATATCTGAAGGTCTTGAATAGCTGAACAGACAGTTGATTATAATTATTTTATCATAACTAAGTGCTAAACCCACAGGGTCATACAGCACCAAATGGCTGAATCTGCATGTTCATTGCCCTGAACATCAATATGTCCAGGAACACAGTAAAATGAGACTGTTCCTGATAGAAATGCAACACAGCCAAAGCTAAGTTTTTGTGCATCATTGTATTTGTCATGTTCACACTTCTGAAAAGACAGCTAGGGAATACATGATTTTGAATGTACAATACAGTGGACCCCCGGTTAACGATATTTTTTCACTCCAGAAGTATGTTCAGGTGCCAGTACTGACCGAATTTGTTCCCATAAGGAATATTGTGAAGTAGATTAGTCCATTGCAGACCCCGAAACATACACGTACAAACGCACTTACATAATTGGCCGCATTCGGAAGTGATCGTTATGCGGGGGTCCACTGTATTTTCCTTTCTTGGGGTCACCCTGCCGAAGTGGAGAAAAGTCAGAATAGAGAAAAAGTGATAAAAACTTATTCTGTATATTCTTATGTTTTACAGTGTGTGTCCCTTTACTGGGTTATTTCGAATACATGTGGGCTTGCACAAAACTTGGCCTTGATGCACCCGGGGCTACGACAGTTGTGTGGCATACCATACTCGTCCTCCCAGAGAGCAAATCCTTATCAACACTTATGGCAACAATTGCAGAAGAAAGTGATAAAGAAAAGGAAAGAGTAAATTTTTTGCTCATCAGTAGATATTTTACTTATGAATGTAGTATACCTTTGTAAAACAAAAATATATATGCTGTACTTTTTATAAAATGTTTAACAGGCAAAATTCTCCTGAACCTCATGTTAAATTCTGCACACAAATATTTAACCCCTTCAGCACTGCATGCTGAAGGAGGCAACTAATTAGGGGTGTTAAAAAAGCAGGAGAAAAATGCTAAGGGTGGGCACAAAACCAGAGAGGGGAATTTTAAATTGGTGCAGTTCAGTTGTGGTCCAGAAAATTATGACAGTTTGCATACTTAAGATACGTATTTCAGGACAATTTGTCAAATTGTGTTGACCTGTTAAGCATAATGTAGAAATTTTGCAGCAGTACAAGTCACCCCTCCAGGACTAATGCAGAGTCATGACCTTCCAAATTACAACTAAGAAACATATGAATGAAGAAGGGTTAAGAAATGACTGGGCAGAATTTATTTGGAAATGCAATAAAGTTATGATAAATCTCATTTGCCCACTTAGTGATTTGCCATCACAAGTCATTAAAATACATTTTCCTGTATTTAATCTATTTTCATTTCCAAGGCTTATACAAACTATCACTACAACTAGTATTTATTTCACATTTTATTCATAATACATGAAGACATTATCAATATGATTGGAATAAAGTTAGAAGTAAAACAGATTTTTAATTTCCTCTACTAAATGTAGTAGTGAGGTTTCTTGACAGTGATGCCATACTCTGCAAGAACAGGTGTGAGATCTTCCATAGTGAGTGTGAATCGCTTGTCTTTACCTTTGGTCTTGCTGCTCGACTGCTGGGAGCCTCGCATCTTGCAGTGTTGCAAAGCATCATTAGTTATATCAGAGATAAATTTTTGAGCTGCCAGTGAAATCAAACGAACACTGTAAAAAATGATAGTTATTGTTCAGTTACAGATGGGCAACGCTGTACAGCCCTTGTGGCTTAGTGCTTCTTTTTGATTATAATAATAATACAGATGGGCAAGATAAGGAAAAATGTAGCCAATAAGAATCCCATGACATTAAAGCATAACATAATTTATAACAAATACAAAATAAATAATAAATAGCAGTTCATATATAATACAGCAGAGGACCATTATTAATTTACTTACAGTCTACCATCAGCAGCTTCAAAACCAGAACAATTCAAGTAGTAAGCTGTCACAGCATCTGGAATCTAAAAAAATAAATAGAGAATATAAATCCTTGCATGTTTGCCATTCTTAAATATGAGCATTATTAAACCTGTTGGGACAGAAAATGGATACCATATATAGTACAGTCACAATGCAACTATGAAGAATGTATTTTTCCCCACTTCTGTGGCACTTGCCAGAATGCAAACTACTGCAATGAAACTTGCCACATTAAACAAAGTACAGTGGAACCCCAAATATCGGCCACTGCGTTTATCGACCAATTTGTATTTAGGCTGGTTTTTGCATGGAAATTTTGCTCTATTTCAGCCGGTGCCTCGTAAATCATGTGTATCAATACGCGTCAGCCCGCCTCCCGCCGGGACACTGCGTGCAAGTGAGTCAGTCTCCCTGTCTCTCTTGGTGAATGAGCATATACTCCGTGCATTCATCCAAAAAATTTCTGCAAAATCCATTAGTTTTTTTGCTTCTTTATTAAGTACAACTGTGAAATAAGCCACCAAGGGCCCAAAGAAAGTTCAGAGTGCCAGCCCTTTGGCAAAGAAAGTGAAAAACATGATGGAATTTAAGACATTACTGAAAAATATGAGAGTGGTGTTCGAGTGCTAGAACTTGCCAGGATGTATGGGAAATCGAAATCAGCAATCACTTCCATCCTGGCAAAGTAAGTAGAAATCAAGGAAGCTAATGTTGTGAGAGAGTTTAGCAGGAAGTGTATCAGGAATGTAGGGAGTGTATTAGGCATGCAGGGAGTGTGGAAGGGAGCTGGGAGTGTAGCATGGAGGGAGGAAAGTAACCCCAGAGAGGGCTTTGATACTTGAAGTCCTTATGGAGGGGGATTCTCTTTCCAAACAATAATCAGTCCTCCCTCTCTCCTCCCTGTCTTCCATAAGCCAATAAGAGTCTTCAATAAAGGTATGTAATAGCGATTTAAATGTTCATTTATTTATTTTATTTAGTTCTCATTGTTTTGTGTATGTAAAACTATAATTAATCTTTAAAAAATTTATTTTTTTATATTTTTCTTGGGTGTCTGGAACGAATTAATTGTATTTACATTAATTCTTATGGGAAAAATTGCTTCGAATTTAGGCCAACCTTCTGGAACGGATTACAGCCGATATTCGGGGTTCCACTGTATATACATGTATGCTATTCACAGAGAAATGTAGAATACGGTATGTGTGTGTACTCCCCTCATCCCCTTCCTTTGTGGCATCATGGCCACTAGCACACAATTTCCAGCCTTTGCCCTAGGGTTGGGGTTCTACTGTATACAGTATGCTACTCAAAAAAAAGTGATGGATAATTTTAATCATGAAGGAAACTACATATGAAGTACACATGTTGTTACGGTCCCCTGCCAAACTAGCGGTTAAATAGTTAACCTGCTGGCCGGCAGTACCACTAGGTACGTCATCAAACCCAATGTGGGGACTGCTGAGCCGGCTTTAGAGGCAGTAAGTACCTGAACACCTCACGGTACACATCTAAGCAGTAACTACCAGAACACCTTACGGTAGATATCTACTGGCATTAGAGTATTCGTCTGACCGTCATATTATATATATCTACTGGCGTTAGAGGAAGCGCTCACTGCAGCTCACTGAGTCTGTTGGCCTCAGTTACTTGACGGCTGCATTCAGTGAGCTTGCAGCATGGTGTTTTACAAACCCTATTTATCAACTGGTCTTGAAGGCAGTAGGAAGTGCTCACCAGACCACCTTACGGTGTACTTCTACCGGCCTTGGAGAGTATTTAAAGGACAGGTGATGTCTGCGGACTCACCGCCTATGCTGGTCAACTGTGGGCCGGAGTCATCGGATGCTGTTGTAGTGGAACACTGAGAAGAAAAGGGTGTCGTGTGACACTAAAGAAGTTACGGTTATAGTGTACATTGAATAGTATCATGTGACTGGCCTCGAGAAAGATGCTATGTGAGTGTGTCGCTGGGTGTCGGGTGACAAGTGTATGATGCAGAGAAAAGGGTGTCGTGTGACACGGAGAGTAGGAGCATCAACGCAGAGAAAAGGGTGTCAAGGGACACAGCTGAGATGGAGCGTCATTACACGGATAAGTGTCGTGCGAGACACAGGGAGCGTCACAACTCGGATAAGTGTCGTGTGACACGGAGGGTCATTAGGGTGTCGTGAGACACGGAGTTGACTGTAATTATTATTGTACAAATGTTATTTATAATTTATTATTTTAGCATAGATATATATAGTGACACAGTAGTGTCTGGAAAGTAGTACCCTGTGTGTAGGGTTATGAATCATTATTTATTATTTTAAAATGCTAATAATTTATTATTGTAATACATTTTAAATACCTCTAGACCAAAGATTTTTTTTATATAATATTAAAGATTAATTTATTTTAATGTGTATACAGGTGTCCCTCAACATTCGCACAATGTGTCAACCACTCCCTCGTATTTTTGTACAATTTCCTTCTTCAATTATATCGTATTATTATTATTATTATTATTGTTATTATTATTACTATTGTTATTATTAGCAGTAGCAGAAATGTTTGATTCTTTGCTGTGTTCAAGAGTAAACACATGATGTCACCGTCCAATACCTGTCCAAATAGCCATTCCAATATGCAGTCATGAATGTGTTTACATTATTTATACTGTAGTTTAATAGCAAATAATGAACAAACAAAACACTCACCACACTGAGTGGTGGGAGGGCTGGCTGCCAGTTGCGGGGGTCGGAGGGAGGGTAGTAGGGACTCGCAGGTGGCGGGAAACTTGAATATGATTTGGCGGCTGGGAATTTGGTGGCTGGGAATTTGGCGGTTGGGAATTCGCGAATGTGTGAAGCCCGCGAAAGCTGAAAACGTGAATGTTGAGGGAGACCTGTATATGTATCCCAAACTTTTATATTACTAACACTAATGTAAAACCCAATTAGTGTTTTTGTAATACATGTCAATGACATTTTTAGTCCTCAGTTTATTAAATCATGAGCATTTCACTGGTGCACTGTATAAAAATTTTCTCCAATTCTCTGATAAATTAGACATGTGCAAAATCCAATTCTTTGAGTGACTTAAAAACTAGAGTGACTTGTGTAAGGAATCTCAAGGGAGTTTCTTGTTTCTGCTCTCAGACAAGTATAATACTCTTTCTACTGACCCAACTTGAAAAGGAACTGCAATTATCTTACCCTTGCTACTACTAAGAAGTCACCAACAGCACCCTGTCTGACAATACTTTTCTATACTGTACCATAAATTAAAATAAAAGAAATCTGAAAATGACACTATTTTTGCAATTACTGTATATCAATTTACTTATTTCAGTATTTTAGTGCTTGTAAGTAAATTTTATCTTGTATAATAGGCATGTTTTAACACTGACTGTTTTGGTCGTATACAGTGGACCCCCGGTTAACGATTTTAATCCGTGCAAGAGGGCTCATCGTTATGCGAAATAATCGTTATGCGAATGAATTTTCCCCATAAGAAATAATGGAAATAAAATTAATCCGTGCAAGACGCCCAAAAGTATGAAAAAAATTTTTTTTTACCACATGAAATGTTAATTTTAATACACACAAACTGAAAAAGGCATGCACAATTACATGACACTTACTTTTATTGAAGATCTGGTGATGATTGATGGGATGGGAGGAGGGAGAGCATTATCTTCTTACTGTTTAGAAGGGGAATCCCCTTCCATTACGACTTGAGGTAGCAAGTCCTTTTCCCGGGGGTTACTTCCCTTCTTCTTTTAATGCCACTAGGACCAGCTTGAGAGTCACTGGACCTCTGTCGCACAACAAATCTGTCCATAGAGCTCTGTACCTCCCGTTCCTTTACGATTTGTCTAAAATGGGCCACAACATTGTCATTGAAATAGTCCCAGCACGGCTTGCAACAGCTGTGTCAGGGTGATTTTCATCTATAAAGGTTTGCAGTTCAACCCACTGTGCACACATTTCCTTAATCTTTGAAGTAGGCACAATGGATTCCACAACTGGCATAGGCTTCTCAGGGTTAGCCCCAAACCCTTCAAAATCTTTCTTAATTTCCATACTAATTCTCACCTTTTTACCACAGGGTTGGCACTAGAAGCTTTCTTGGGGCCCATGGTCACTTATTTTCCAGAAACAGCACCGAAAACACTGTAATAATACGAAATATTCCGAGTGTATGCTTGGATGTTACCGCGGAGGCTGGCTGGTAAACAATGGGACGGCCGGCACATGTGAGGCTGGCTGAGGGCACATTGGACGCGTCTCGGACGAAAATCGGTAAGCGGGTTTTTAATCGGTATGCGCGGCAAAAATTTTGCGATAAAAGTAATCGGTATGCGGAAAAATCGCTATGTGATGCCATCGTTATGCGGGGGTCCACTGTATATACATCTTACGAGCCACCATTTTTGACTATATATACTCATAAATTCTAGCGGCTTCAAATCAAGCAGGAAAAAGCTGGTAGGGCCACATGTGAGAGAATGGGTCTGTGTGGTCAGTGTGCACCATATAAAAAATCCTGCAGCACGCAGTGCACAATGAGAAAAAAAAAACTGACCGTTTTTTTTTTAATTAAAATGCCGAATTTATGGTCTATTTTCGAAGAGTATTTATGACTGTAGTCTCGTTTTCTTGGTCTCATTTGATAGAATGGAAAGCATATTATAGAAATAGAGGCGATTTTGATTGGTTTTGCTATGAAAAGAACCTTGAAATGGAGCTCAAAGTAGGGGAAATGTTTGATTTTTGCCAATGTTCAAAAGTAAACAAATGATGTCATTTTCCAATAAATGTGCAAGTAGCCATTCTAATATGCAGTCATGAATGGGTTGATATTATTTATACAATTATTACAATATTGCAGTAGTCTGCATAACAGTAAATCTATTTTTTGTTTGAATAAAAATTCAAAATAGAAAGCAAGAGTAATATCAGAGGGGCATGGAGATATGACTGATGAACAAAGAAAATGTCATTTTAGAGCCAGGAATGTCTGCATTGTTCATCCTGGACCCTGTTTTGAAATT